ATGAGTCCCCTATACAAAGACAATTTACTTACTAGACTATCCTGCATATAGACTTCCTTCTAGGTGGATACACTCAGATGTCATCTGTACGTAGCTGGAACATTGGACACATGTAGGTAACTGAACTCTTAGGACCAGAAACTCTGCTGGTTAAATTAACCTAGGCATCAAGGTAAGCTGAGGATGATCCTTTTTTCTCTAGAGGTTTATTAAAATTCGGATGCTTGTTGATATCATTATATATTTTTCCTCCAAAAGCAGATTGTGCCAGATTAATTTGATATATTTCTTGATAAGATGATTGATTTTCCAGGCAAAGAAAATGCAGGAGATCTTATCTAACTGGACCTAATGGAAGTATTTGATATGGTGCCACATAGGAATTTGTTAAACTGGATGAAATGGGATTAGTAAAAGAATTGTAAGGAACTGCCTAAAAGGCATATAGTCACATAGATTCATACGTGCTAGGGTTGGAAGGGACCTCAACAGATTATTTAGTCCGACCCCCTGCCTGGGCAGGAAAGTATGCTGGGTCAGATGACCCCAGCCAGATGCCTATCCAGCCTTCTCTTGAAGACCCCCAAGGTAGGGGAGAGCACCACCTCCCTTGGAAGCCCATTCCTAATTTTGACCACCCTTACTGTGAAGAAGTTTTTCCTGATATCAAGCCTAAATCTGCTCTCTGTCAATTTGTGACCATTGCTCCTTGTTATCCCAAAAGGTGCCCTGGTGAACAGAGCATCTTCGATCCCTTGCTGTGTCCCCCTAATTAATTTGTAGGTGGCCACAAGATCACCTCTCAGCCTTCTCTTGCAGAGGCTGAAGAGGTCTAGGTCCCTCAGTCTCTCCTCATAGGGCTCGTCCTGTAAGCCCCTAACCATACAAGTGGCCTCCTCTGGACCCTCTTGAGTCTATCAACATCCTTCTTGAAATACGGTGCCCAAAACTGGATGCAGTACTCCAACTGCAGTCTGACCAATGCCGCATAGAGGGGAAGTATCAACTCCTTGGATCTATTTGTCATGTATCTGCTGATGCACGATAAAGTGCCATTAGATTTGCTGATGATTTTGTTACACTGATGACTCACGTACATCTTGGAGTCCGCTATGACTCCGAGATTCCTTTTTGCTTCTGTGCTGCTGACAGGGTCACTTCCCAGCCAGTAGATGTGCTGGATATTTTTGCGCCCTAGGTGCAGCACTCTGCACTCATCCTTGTACTGCATCCTATTGTGTACTGTCCACTGCAATCGTTCCCTACCCTCCGGAGCGTGCACTTCACCCCACAATTTAGTATTGTCTTCAAACTAGGACAGAGTACAATTCACACCCACATCCAAGTCACTGATGAAGATATTGAAGAGAACAGGTCCAAGGACCAAACCCTGCGGGACCCCACTACCCACATCCTTCCAGGTCAATACCGATCCATCTACTACCACTCTCTGGGTGTGACCGCTAAGCCAATTTGCCACCCACCGGACCGTGTAAGCATCTATGTCACAGCCTCTTAATTTATTTATGAGAATAGGATAAGATACCATATCGAAGGCCTTGCTAAAGTACAAGAAACGATACCCACCTCTATTCCTGTGTCTAAGCATTTTGTGACCCTGTCATAAAACGAAACCAGATTGTTCAGGCATGATCTACCTGTTACAAATCCATGCTGATTTCCCTGCTGCATTATTTTTCCTGCTGGACTCCCACAAATATGATCCTTCATAATCTTTTCAAAGATCTTTCCAAGGATAGAGGTGAGATTGACTGGCCTATAATTACTCGGATCCTCCTTCCTCCCTTTCTTGAAAATAGGGACCACATTGGTCCTTTTCCAGTCTTTTGGGACCTGACCCGAGCACCACGAGCGCTCAAACAGCCATGCCAGTGGTTTTCCTATGACACCGGCCAATTCCTTCAGTACCCTTGGCTGCAGATCATCTGGGCCTGCTGACTTGTGTCACAACCCGATGATTTTAGTGCCTCGGCACGATGGAATTTTCCCGCCACATGAGAGTCTCTGTGCACAGCAAAAGTTTTCAACAGAAAACCCCGGTGCAAGAGAGTTCCTGCCATTCGCATGCAAATTTGTGTCCCACTATTGGCCAGTTCTAAATTATTCCTACGTGGCGGCTAGTGATTGGCTTGCTAGCTGTATAAAATTCTGTGCGACTTCCGCCCAAGTCGGAGAACTTTGAGCACGCTGCAGAGTGCCTTTGAAGATTCCTGACTTGCGGCTGAGCTGATCGATAGCCTGATCACCTATCGATTCTTCTCCCCGTCGCCGAGCGCAATCCTTCGACGTACCCTTTTCCCTGCCGGCCTGACTCGTGTACGGATTAGCTGGCCTGAGCCTTGCCAGCTGGAGCAACTCGTGTAGTTGTTTAAGCGACCGGACCACCTGCGTCGTGACTACTAGCGGCGTAAGTAAAGATTTTTGCAACCAATACGCTTTGTCTGCCTCTCCATTCACCAGCCCGCCCAACGACCGAGCAATTTATATATGACCTCAAGTCGGCTCCGGCCGTCTGAGACAACTTGAACACATCCAGTCCATCCAAGTGACTCTGCATCAAGTCAGCATCGACAGTTGGTGGGCTGGTGTCCCTCTGATGCCCATCATTTAAGAACCCATTAGGAGACTTATCTTGAGCCCTGTTCAGGAACACTGAGGCAAAAAATTGATTGAATGGCTCAGCCTTGTCCCCCTTCTCTGTTACTAATTGCTCCTTCTTGTTCAGTAGAGGTCCTATGATGCCCCTCACCTTCCTTTTACTCCCTACATACCTAAAAAAAGACTTTTTGTTGTCTTTAATTTGTGTTGCCAGCCTCAGCTCTGTAGTTGCTGTGGCCTTTCTAACTGCCTCCCCACAAGTGTGGGTCAAGTAGGTATACTCCTGCTTGGTAGCTTCCCCCTGCTTCCACCACCTATACACCTTTTTTTTTTGCCCTTAGGCTCCCCTGGATTTCCCTGTTTAATCAAGGAAGATTTTGGCTCCTTTCCCCCTTTTCCCTCGGACTGGGATAGTCTCCCTCTGTGCCCAAAGGATCGCTTTCTTTAGGAATGACCACCCTTCCTAGACTCCCATCTCGCCAATACTCCTATCCTGCAGTGCATCATTGACTAGACACCTAAGCACACTGAAGTTAGCCTTCCTAAAGTCAAGCACTTCCACCCTACTAGCTATCTTACCCACCCTCCGCCTATGGTGAATTCGATTGATTGGTGGTCACTGTCCCCAGGGTGACCACGAATCTGCAGCTCCCCTACCAGGTCCTCCCCCATAGCCAACACCAAGTCCAGTAAGGCATTCCCCGTAGTGGGACCGTATACCTCCTGTGTTAGGTGAAGGTCATGCACGCAGGTTAAGAACCTACGTGAATGGTTGGATTTTGCTAACTGCTCCTCCCAGCAGATGTCAGGGTAGTTGAAGTCCACCATGACAACCACAGCCCTAGACTGTACAGCCCCTGAGAGCTGCCTCAAGATCTCCAAGTCTCTGTAGCAGACCCCCTGTGACAGGGATCCACTCTGGGCCGCCCTTAATGTGGCCCACACACCTGTCCCTGGGGCAACTGCCCACATACTCTCCTGCCATGCCTTGTTCTTAATTAATTGATCAGTGTTAATCAGCGGGAGGCTGCCCTTGTACTGCCCCGCTGCTAGGGGTGCTATCTGCGGCTCCGTTTCCTCCCCTACACTGTAGTTCACACCTTGCCGATGTTGACTCAGGTCTATCCCTATTTTGGCCCCTTCCTGTTCTCTCTGGGCCTTCTCTGTGATGCTTACGCCCTCTCCTGGGGCTCGTCGTGCCCACACTTGGGCTTCCCAATTATGCTGCCCCCTGTCTGGGGCTCACCGTGCCCACACTTGGGCTCCTCAATAATGCGGCCCTCTCCTGGGGATCTCCGTGCCCACACTGGGGCTTCGCAATAGTGCCCCCTTTCTCTGGGGTTCGCCGCACCCACACTAGGGCTTCTCAATAGGCCCCCTCTCTGGGGTTCACCACGCCCACCCAGGGGCTTCTCAAACGCCCCTCTCTGGGTGCCCCCTCACCGGCGCTGGGGTCCTCACACTCCGCTGTGAGTCCCCTATGAGGCCTCCTCCATCCCCTTATAGTCTCACCCAAACCACCAGTGTAACAAACAGCAACACAAACTTGAGCCTCCTGGCTATAACTTGAACATAAGCCACCTGGCTATCACAACATTGCTCAACTCAGGTCAAGCTGTACCTGCAGTTAGGCTTCTCCTCACATCATGGCTTAGGGAGCTCCTGCCTTTCTGGCTGCTGGTAGAGAACTGCCTCTGGCCTCAGCTCCTGGGCTTTATAAGGGCCAGGCCCTGCCCCTCCTGGTCAGCTGACCTTCCCTGGTTGCCCCGGCAACCCACAGCTGGGCTCCTTAGTCACTGCTAGGGCTCCCTCCCTAGCAGTTTTCCCCTCTTCAGGAGCAGGGCACCTCAGTGCTCTGTGACACCCCCACTACCAAGTCCCTTTCCCCACAACCTCCATGAATCCTAACCCACAATGCCTCAACTTTCTCCTCCTCTGATCCCATTTTGATTAAGGTAGATATATAATGCTCCTTTACATAGAGAGCAACCCCACCCCCTTTCCTCCCTACACTGTCCCTTCTGTACAACCTGTAGCCCTCATTGTGTGCCACCCAGTCATGGGTAGGGTCCCACCAGGTTTCTGTTAGTCCCACTAAATCAAAGTTATTATCTGCAAGCAGAAGTGCAAGTTCTTTCTGCTTGTTCCCCATGCTCCTAACATTAGTATAGAGGCTCCTGAGCCTTCTGAATGGTGCCTTTGGTGCCCCCACTTTCTGATGCCCAAAGGGACCCTTGGTACTTACCTGGGGTGTATTGCTGCATGTCTTGCAGTTTGTAGGTTCTAGACTCTCTCCATCTCCTGTCTCCCTGTCCCCCGTCGTACTTAGTTTAAAGCCCGATGAAGGAGGTCAACCAACCTGTAAGAAAAAAGACTCTTACCTTTTGTGGAGAGATGAAGCCCATTGCATCGCAGGAGGTCCCCTGTACGGAAGTGCAGATCATGGTCCAGGAAGCCAAAACCCGCACAATGGCACCAACTCCAGAGCTGTGGGTTGACTTCGATGCCTTGTTGGACTTGGTGTTGGCCACGGGCGATGACTTGGTGAGGGGCCTGCGGGTGCTTGACCCCCTGGGCGACAGTGACCACTGCCTGCTGGAATACACCATTCAGCGCAAGGTGGCAAAGGCAAGCAGTCAGGCTGTGGCTCTAGATTTTAGGAGGGCGAACTTCAACAAGCTAAGGAGGATAGTTGGAGAAGCGCTGAAGTCTCAGAGGGGAGGAGAGCCGGGTGTTCAAGGGGAGTGGTCGCTCCTTAAGGAGACGATCCTCCAAGCCCAAAAGAAGGTAATCCCGACGAGGATCAAAGGGGGCAGGAGAGCATACAAGCCTCCATGGCTCACCA